CGACGCCAAAACAGCATCGCCAAGCAAATTGCCACCAAGTTTTGAACTTCTGGAACCAATCGCTCGCCGAGTTTGATGAACCACCGAAACCCACGTACAGCAGCGTCCTCGCCTCCGGCAGAAAGCCCCAAGGACAGCTGGCCGTTACGGCCCCGCCCCACTACAGCGAAAACAACAAACCGCCACTCGCCTCCAGGGCGACCACCCGTGACCCCACCCAAAGAGGACCTCCGTGTCTTTGTCCGACTTGACGCTGATGCTCCGGCCCGAAAACATGAAAGATACGCAATCCGGACCCACGTCGCCGCTAGAGTCGGTATCGACCTGCGCCGCGTCCCGGCGGCCTTCCCGGTAAACACGGGTTGGGCCATCCAGGCATCGGACAAGGTCACGCGCGACATGCTCGTGCAGCGACAGTCAGACTGGGCCTTAGAGTTAGGTTCCCGGGTTGTAGAAATAAGTCAAAAGTGGCATTCGTATGCCGTAGCCGGTTGTCCTCGTAGGCTCACGGACCTACGCGGTATCGAAATAAACTACGACGTGGCGGTTCGTGAAGAGATCGTTTGCCAGACAGGGCTTGAGCCCTCAGTGGTCAGAACACATTGTTCCATTTGTAACCCGGCGAAATATGATGACTGCCGCCTTCCCGACAGCAGACAGCTCTTCTATCAGACATTGGGTTCTAGGGCTCTTGAGTGGTATTGCTCTTGGCAGGCTGGGAGTGTTATCCAGCATTGCTCTCCTAGGAAAGCCTCAACCTGCCAATATTCTCACCCCATTCTCCTACTATTTGCGCTTGCAACCCTATCTACGTAGAAGAATTATAGCGCAGGTACAATGAAATATAAGGAAATCCCACATCGCCCAGCGAGAGGGCATCATGTGGAACCAGCCGGAGAGCGACTCAGAAGATGTGAGAGGGTGTGCTGCTTCTTCTTGGGTTGGTGTTGGAACCTACGAAAGACCTCCTGGATGAGGGGGCTCCATCGGGGTCTTGCCTCACTGAAGGGGATCGAAGAGGTCCTGCTGGACTTTCCTAGTATCACTCGGTGCCGACGTTGTCGCCGCCGCTTTTAGCGCGGCTGGTCCATGTCCTACTAGGTCAAAGTTGCGGGCATCTCGAAGGTGAGGAATATGAGGATGTCGGAAATGTCGTCCGAGGGCTTGCTGCCGATGATAATGCTGAACCCGGCCCACTCACTGAAGCACTTGTCTTTGCACCAGGTGAAGGAGGCCTAGCGGTACTTGGACTAGGTGACGTATTCCTTGCGCGTCATAACCTATGTTCGCTTGTCGGCCCTGTGGAGGCGTTGGAGAGTCATGTAGCCCATCTCGTCCCTTCTTTCTCTCCTTGTCGCGCTGGGGGGCCTCGACCGAGTAGTGGGACGCCATCCCGCCGATGAGGTTAGCATAGGTTTTCTTGTACTTCCTGGCGACTTCATCGATGGAGCCGCCGGGCACGACGCCATTGAGGGGGTCATCGCAGACGACTATGTCAGCGTCGGCACCCCTGTCATCCGAGTGTTCAACATTCTTCGCACGTCCTTCCACGAGGACCACGAGCAATCACCGGCGACACGGTCGAGGGGCAGAGGCGGAGTGGAGCTCAGTTCGTAGCAGACAAAACAACGGTCACACGAAATGCCGCCAGGACGAGCAATACGCCATTTACTTAGGTAGCGCCTCTTCAAGCCTTTGTTGTAGGGCGCTTCAAATGTTTCTCGAAAAAGCAGTAGGACAAGCAATAGCCCTTCTCGTAGTGCCCGGTCCGATGTCTACAGTTGCGATGCGCATTTCTTCCATGGAACAAGGGTGGGCAGCCAGGAACATAACACTCGTGAAACCTACGAACAAACTGCCTTTCCTAGTTTAGGTAAAAATGAATTGACGTATTATGGCCAGGATAGTGTCAAAGTATACATAGGTATAGCCGGATAGAAGAGCATGGGGAAAGGAAGGTGGGAGACGAGGGGTCTCGGAGCCGTTGCTGAGAAAATGACCAGGAGCCAAAACTTGCATCGCCAGATAACAACTTTTTGAAAGCTCACTCCTGAAGCGCTACTTCCAGGTACATGTGCTCAAACACGGACGTTAATGTGGTAAAGTCAGCGGATGATCCAGCTTCGATGCCATGTAGAGGTCTCAAGTTGCTCCAAATTCTGCTGTTGGTTCAGGATTTATGCACGGCAGGTTCACATACATTAGCGCGTGCCGTGGTGGTGTCCGCGGGAGCATCCTTGCAAATGCGGATCGTGGCTCAGCCACATTTTGCGCCTATGCATGGAGTCTGTTGGTTTGCTGATACCGGCTTTCAAGTCATAGCCAGGATGCAAGGGAGTACTTGTCGAAATTTTTCCTGTGGTGCCATTCCTCTTCTTGAAATGGTTGCCTCATGTAAGGACTTGGACGTTGTTGTTCTTCAAGGAACTGCACCGGTAACCGGAGCTATCTACCTCTTCACACCACCTTCTTAAGATGGTTGCCACACTCAGCAACGGTCGAATGTCAGCGCTCTGTAAGTTGCCGCGCTAGAGTCAAAATGTGCTTCTGTTGGCTGCCCTGCAGCCAGAAAGCACTCCTACTTCATGGGATGGATGCCTCGATGAGATGGCTGCCTCGATGAGATGGGCTGCCTCGATGAGATGGCTGCCTCGATGAGATGGCTGCCGCACCAGATAAAGACTAGGACATGATTGGCCTGAAGCATACTTCAGTGGGACCTCTATCGGAGCCTGGGGTTCAGCGCCTCGCGCCCAGTGATGCTCCCATTGCCGCTGGATGACGCCGGCCTACGTCGGCCCACGCCGGCCCTAGCAGACGGCACCGCCTCCTAGGTTCTGCCGACCGCTGGGGACCAGCTTGAACACGAGCTGCAAAGATTGCTTATCTCCTACTTGAGATCGACGAATTGGGGATGATGCCCAACGGGCATCCGTTCAACGACCGTCAGTACCAATCCCAACACCTATGTGGTCTCGAACCGCGGCGACAAGCTCTTCAAGCTTGCGACCGTCTGCGTCAGGGTGTTGGGCTATAAGGCCACATCTGGCGTCCACAAAAATAGGTCTCTGTACAGGATCATCGCGAGCCAGGTACACTCCCCTGTGTTCTTACTTGGCATCAACTGTTAGGCAAGGGGATTAACTAAACTCTTGTCTTCTAGCTCGGGTATATTAACCCCGCGACTTCCATCGCGTATCGTTAGTCTTGCTTCAACTCTTTAAGCCTCATTACTTTTCTCTCCCACATCCATCGATACTCGAATCATGTTTGCGCTTTACTATATTGAACAAGTATCGTACGGTTGCGGTGATGGAATCACCTTTCACATCCGTTGGAATGGCGCGAGAATGATCGTGAATTTCGATCCAAGCCCCTCTCCTAACGCGACGGAAAAATTTCTCATCCAGAAATACATGTCTGCATGCCTCGGTGGTGATGAGGACAAAGTGGATGAGGTTCAAGATGAGATTATTGGTGTTATCGTTGGAGTTGGAGTTGCTACATTTGATCAGATCGCCCCTCCCCTGGCAGAGCCACAGTCCAGCCTGCATTCAAACATTTTTCCGCCACAATACTTTTTCAACCTTATCACGGTTGGTGGCACGATGAAACTGCTTTCCGAAGGATCCTATCACCTCGAGATGTCTGGAGTCCCTGGGAAAGGCTACGCAGGGGTAGTTCCAATTCCCCACTTACAGTCACCAAAACCAGAGTTTCCAACATTTTCCTTCCACCTTGACGTCAAAGAAGACTTGAAAGTGCCGAGATATCTGATGACAGATATTCAGGTGGTTGAGAATTTACTTGGAGATGATTATATTACGCATGTCTCAGTCAATGGGTGTCATATGTGTGCCAAAGTAGGGTGCGAATTTGATGGCGGAGCGATGCAAAGAGAGTTGGATTGCCTCGCCAAAATTACCGCCTACGCCGCTCAGTACCCCTCGCCAGTCAATGTGCCAAAACTACTTGGGCTAATTGAAACGCCTAACGACGGGCATGTCATCGGAATATTGGAGGAATTCATCCCGCATTCTGAGAATCAACAGTTATCAACGTTGGCAACGATGGACGATATCACTGCGATTTCAAAGGAGCGAAGGGAAGCCTGGGTTTCAAAGGTTCGACAGACAGTTGATTGGTTGCATCATCATGGCATCATCTGGGGGGGGATGGTAAGGCGGATAATGTTCTTGTTCACCCTCATACTGACGAGGCTTGGCTGATTGACTTTGGCGGGTGGAACACGGAGGGTTGGTTGATGAAAACTTAGCGGGACGTTCGCCGGTGATTATCAGGCTGTAGAGAAGATTCACGGGTTTCTACAGATTTCCTAGGGCCCGGTGGCTCAATGTGCATTATATTTTGTAAATGTTTCGGTACAATACCTGGTACGCCCTACGATCAATTTCGCGATGGCAACCGGGAGGCTAGACACGAACCAACGATGGTAATACTGACGGTCGCTGAATAGATACCCATTGGGCATCATCTTCAGTTCGTCGATATCACGTGGGAGATACGTAATCGTCGCAGCTCGGATTCAAGCTGGCGTGTCGTGTCATCCCCAGCGGTCGGCAGAACCTTGGGAGGCGGTGCCGTCTGCTAGGGGCCGGCGTAGGCCGGCGTCATCTGGGGACAGAGGAGCATCATTGAGCGCGAGGCGCTTCGATCCCCTCCGATAGATGTCCCACTACAGTATGCTTCAGACCTATTATTCTCACGAAGAAAGCAGGGCAAAGGGCATGATTTTTGGGGTGTCTGTGTGTTGATTCTTCCTTTCTGTCATAGGCCCTTTATTTATCCCCTTGCCCTGCTTCTTCCTCCGTCTTCCATCTTCTTCCTTGCGGACTTACTAATCCATAGGCACCCATCTCTCCGCGTCAGCGTGCTACATCCTCCCGGTTTCATCCTGTCTCGTCCCTACACCTTCAGCTAGCTATCAGGCTTCAGGACCAAGTCTTAGACCCTTCTTCTCGACAATTATGTCCTAGTCCTTACGGTCCCTGCTCTTGCTCCACCAACTTCTTCAACCTATCCAGTCTCTCCTGCTCCAGAAGCGAGTCTCGCCTCAGTTCTTTGAGTCTTGCATTCTGGTCTCGTACTTGACGGCTTATCCTGTTAAGCCTTCCCTTTTGCAAAACCTCCTCTCGCGCCAACTTTTCAAACCTCAAACTTTGGTTTCCTACTCGCTGATGCGTGTCGTGGAGCCTCACTCGCTCCAGCTCAAGCTCATGCCTCATGATAGCCAAGCTCACGTCCTCTTCATCCGTCGTCGTGGGCTTGCCGCTGAACGCCGCCCTCTCTGCCTGGCCACCTTCGGCAGTTGTCATCGCTACATCATCGCCCGTAGCGATCTCTGTTGTAGCAATACTTCCGATTGACGGTGGTAGTCCGAAATAAGCGCAGTAGACGAACCACCGTATGAATGTCGATGTTATTTCTGTTCTCTCGACGTCGACCTCATTCTGCATCTGAGGAAGAAAGAGATGTGCTTTGTCATAATCGTGATCAAGAGCATTCGGTCGGCCGTATCGCTTTGGTGGCTGGTCATGCTCTCTGATAACCTCTTGGCCGCTGGACAAAAAATACACACACACACACACCGGAAAGTCGCCTTCAGATGACACGAAATGGACGCCCAACATAGAGGCAGTTCGTGCGACAATACGATTTGCGATAGCGACGGCACGACTCGCGAGTACACGACATTGAGAACAGACTGCGAACCCACACCTTCCCTTATTACTCTTTTCCTACTAACACGCCCGCTCTGGGCTCGGGCCTCAGGTCGCAGGCACCGCTTCAGCCGCCGCAGATAGGACCCTGAACACTTGAAGAACAACCTTCAAGCTCGCCTGCCTGGAACAATTTCAAGCGCCCGGACCCTCCGAGTGCGATGCAAATTCTGTTGAGACCAAATTGCCGAGATCGAACACAATATGGGCTTCAGGATACCATGTCAAAGATTGAGAAATGAACATGTCCGTAATCAGATAGTAGCCTTATTGGCCTACGGCCATCAGGCGTAATTAATACACACACACACACACACACACATGTCAAGTTCTCAATGTGTTACCCAGCCTCAAAGCACTGGCTGGTGCTATACTCAGGGAAGGGATGCCTGGCTCTTGAAACAAATTTTGGGATCATCTCGTCACGGAACAGGTGTTTGGATAGTTGCTTCTGTAGGGCTCGTGACATCGAAAGAGCTACCATCTGAGGACGGCCCGAACGGTACTTCGGAGTTCAAATCGTCTCAATTTCAGTCGAATTCTGGGAATAGTTTGCTCGCTGCAGGAAGCTATTTTCGCGATGTCAATATGTGAGCGGACGTCAAGAACGAGAGTCGTAATATGCTTGTGTTGGGTCATACAATCTGGAGGCATTTCGTTCTTGGCTTTACCGGACGATTCGAAGTGTGTCGGTGAAAGTGGAAGAAGTGGGGGGAAATTCCCCGCGACCAGCGGCGGGGGTCGCTACTCTACCCTTCCGCACAGAAGCCACGTCGGCGGATTATGGCCGAGACAGCAAACCAACAGAACTTATCGCAAGACCGCCGAGTATACCTATCCCTAGGTTGGGAAGCAAACAGGAGTGGGTGGAGTGCACCCCCTATGCAGCTCCCAGGGTGTGCCAGCCGCTACACCAACGGCCGTCTATTAATATGTGAGGACCCTCAGTGCTTTGAGTAATGGCCTCGAAGGAGACTCTAAGGATGTCTCAAAAGTCAGAGAGGTCACAAAATACTGCTCATGCCATTCTGCAACAAAATGGAAGCTAGAGCATATTTACTAGCGTTTGATCAGTGATTATCTGATCCACGACATTCCGGCTCGGACCACCTTGATTCGTAATTGTTATGTCTGCCAATAGCAATCCTCATATCATGTAGTGGCCACGACAGGCCGTGTGAGTCACCACCGCTCGCACCTGTCCAGCACCATGCAGCTCACACGCCGAGTCTATTGACCATAAAATGAGCCGACATTTTGGATGTCAGGATGCGTTTTCCATGTCCTTCAGAGAGCAGGGTCCAATAACAATATTACTGTAATTTCGTTCTACGTTGCCAGATGGAGAGCCTTGACTGCGTCCGGCCGCCGACACCGCCTCACCATCCTACCGCCGGTGTGCGTGTGCTGCGTGAAGAGATTGAGAACATCGCGAGCTGCGGGTTCCCCCACTCCGAGCTGGTCTCTGTGACACAGCTTCCTTCTGGCCGATCGTACAACAATCGCCTATACTTCCTAACACTTCGACACCCTGCCCATGAGACGTCACCGAGCTCAGCGGCGCCGCCAGAACAAGAAGTCGTGTTAAAGGTCAGCGGCCGCTTCTTTGAAGCGTACAAGGTCCAGAACGAGGTGGCATGCCTGCAGCTGCTCCAGCAACACCGCGCAGATGTTCCGGCACCCCGAGCTCTTGCGTGGTCCGAGGACGGCCGTGTCGCCATATCTGCGACCCCATACAAGGCCGGACCTTGTTCGCTGAACGAATCTAACAATCAGCCACTTGGCCACGGCGGATGGATCTTGATGACTAAGGTCGCGGGTGATCCCATGGCATGTGCTGACTTGGATAAGGCGACAATCACGGCTCTGGCAGAACAGCTCGGTGATATCGTGACGTCCTGGCGTCGCAACATCCCTCTAAGAGCACTGCGGCAACATCCGGTTACCGCATTCGTATTTGTTGGTTGGCGTTCGGTCAAACTGGTTCGACCCTCAAGACGGCTTCTGAGTCTACCACGCGGCACCTCGAATTGACGAGCAACCGTAGTCATTTTTGCCGTGGGATTTTGATCGAGATAATTCTTGGCCTTTTTCACGCGAGCCTCCAGAAGTCTGGCCTCTTCGCGACGCATTTTGGTGGTGGTGTTCTGGCTGGAAGGTAGAAGGTGTGAAAAAGTGGCTAGGTGGCCAGTCAGGCTAAGTGGCCCGTCAGCACCAGCTTTTTTTTTTTTTGGTTGTATTACGCCCGGAGGGTTCCCCCATAGGGCCACTACGCTAAGCTACGGACCTACTGTACATTGTTCCATCTCACCCGAAGCCCCACGCTTCTTTTCATCTGTTTCCAGCCTCGTTCGCTGTGACATGACAGGCCTGCTTGAAGGTCAGTTTCTCCAAGTGTTCAGCGTCCTACCTTCAGCGACTGAAGCGCGGTCTGCCAAGTTGAAGGCTGTTGTGTTAGTATGATTTTCTCTTGATTAGTACATGGCCCATTAACGGTCCATACTGAAGCGTTTTGTCGCCAATGCGAACTGTATCGTCGCACGCACCGCCCCAATATCAGGCTGCCACTTGTCGTCGTCTGACTCTGACCTGCCTCCTAGGAAGAAAGACAGGTCTCCCACCTTTCCGCGAGCATATCGCAGCATAATCTCTCGTTGTACCGTCCATCTTCTGCATCGAAAGAGGAAATGCTCCACCGTTTCTGCAGACTGCCCACAAGTGCACTCATCCGATTCCACTGCCCCGATTTTGCAAAGGTAGCTATTCAGCCGTGATTTGCCAGTTCGAAACTGTACCAACACTTCGGATTCCCTTCTCGTTAGCTCGTCGTACAACTTGCGGGTGTGCTTCCCAGCAGTGCCTTATCGATGCGCTTTGAGTGCTTCCCAACCCTTCTGGGATCTGACTAACGCGAGTGTGTTCGTTGAGCAGCAGTCGTAACGTCGTTGCTCTTGCCTGAAACGTTGCTGGTTCAGCGATGCATTCATCTCGCGTTGCTCTTTTCGCTTGCATTTTGGCCAGTGGCCCAAGGGTGAACTCCTCATTCTTTGCAGGCACCCAACGAAGTCTGACTCTGCAGCCTCTTTTCGCAAGATACTCAACAGATCCGTATATCGCCCGTATCGTGCACTGACCAGACTGCTGCCGCGGTCGCCCGATGACTTGCAGGACAGCGCGGTTGCTTGTCACAACTGTGAGCTCTCGGTCATGAATACCTAGAGGCACACACCTCAGGGCCATGGCGATTGCCTCGAGTCCTGCTGTGTAGACATTCTGCTCATCACTGGAGCCAAGGGTGACGGAGTAGCTTGCCAGCACCTCGTCTGCGTTGTCACGGGAAGCATCCCGAACGACGCCTCCCAAACCGACCTTGCCTTTCCTTTGAGAACTGGACGTCGCAATAGTGATGTCCTCCGGGACCTCCGGCCTCATCACCTCCACTCGGTCTGCCTCGTACTTTGCCTGCATACGTTCGTCCCACGGCGCGAGTGCGAACTCATGGATGACTTCCACGCGTTTGGTATCTAGTCTTGACATCGCCGAGGCGAGCTTCTGCATCGGCGAGGCATACCTCCTGTGCAGCTTGAGCCTCAACGATGTCAGAGGATGCGTCTTCGGGAGCGTCCGCATCCTTATCCAGAATTTCGCTGCCGCTTGAGCGTGCCGTTCTCGGAATGATTGCACGCCAGCCTCGGCCTCAGCCACTGCCGTTGCCACTGTGCGGAATCCTCCTGTGATTGCCTGGGCTCCAATTCGCTGGGCCCTATCGATCCATGACGCTTCTTTCGCCCCGCATGCATGCGACCAAACGTTGGAGGCATAATCCATGGTCGGCGCAACGGTCGCAGTGAACAGTTGCCTCGCCGTTCGTGGCGAGGCCATCTTCAGTCGTTTCAAGCACATGGCAGCGGTCAGCCCCTTGGCGGCTACTCCGGCGATATGCTCCTTGAAGCGAAGTGCTTGATCCATGATGACTCCCAGCAGCTTCACATTGTCCTTCGGCTTGACATCATTCCCTCTGATGGCGAAAGGCGAGTCGCTGTCTCGTTCTGCGATGCGTGTGAAATGGATGACGGACGTCTTGTCAACTTCAAACGTGGCGCCGCTGCGCTTCTCCCACTCGAGCGCATCATCGATAATCGACTGAATACCATCTCTGTTCGACTCGGCTGTTGGTCCAGTGACCCAGGCAGAGTAGTCGTCCACGAAGGCGATGGAGCCACTGTTGTTATCAGCACCAGCTTGGCTGGTAGTAGTAGTATTGATTACCGTCTGGGACATCCCTATAAGGGCAAAAGACGTGCTAGGCTAGGTATAGTACAAGATGGGGATGCTCGTCGGAGACCCGTCGCGCGTTCCTTACTTCTACTCCCCTATCTAGCAATTCTTGGACTCTGTGGCCGCTCGGATTCTCAGGTCCCTTCCCCCGTCAGCGGGTTCCGGGCACGGCGGCGAAGCCGTAATATTAGTCAGTCTTCGGTCAGAGCCGGGTGACTGAAAGCCCACGCAGTCAGCTGGGCCGTAGGCCCACAGGAGCCTACGGGCAGAAAACATAGAAAAGAGAGTTGTACATATTAGGTTGGAGGGTTGCCTCGAGCTAGTGGCGGTGGCAGATCCGATCAAGAATTCTGCCTCCGTTACTAGCCCGAGGAACCGGTCAAATCCCTTCCTAGTGCCTGGTTGATAGCCTTGCCCGCCGTGGGGCTAGCCTTAGGCGGTGTCGAGTACCTACCTTCCGGCAGTAGGGGTGTGTCGGTGATTTTCTCCTCCGCAAGAGCATTCGATCCGGGCCTCTTCGTGGTTAAACCTCTCGTGGTAGTCGGCGAAGTCCCCGTGCCCGCTCCTCGCAGCGAGCAGGTGATGGAGGTGCTCTCGTTTGGTGTGCAGCTCCGGGGGGCACCCGAGCGAGGCCTTGAGCTCTAGGCTCTTGTAGCTGCTCGGGGCCCCCGCGGCCCACCAGTCCTGGAAGTCGCGCCTGGCCGCAGCCTTGGCCTGTCTCTTGATGTTCGCGTAGGTCGGCGATCTGTCCGGACCCTCGGCCCGGCAGCCCTCCTTTGCTAGCTGGTCGGCCCGCTCGTTGCCGGCGATCCCCGTATGGCCGGGGCACCAACGCGTGCTGAGGTGTTCCCGGTGGACGTGCAGGCATGCGCCGCATCGGCTAGCGTAACGCTGCAGTTGACGGCTCTGTGCGGGGCCCGCACCTCCGGAGCCCAGGGGATGTCGTCTGCGGCCGCGCGCCTCTCCAGAATCTCGGCCCGAAGTGCGTCCGCCTTTTCCGTCTGAGTTTCGTAGACCGCCCCGCCTGGGCCCGCCACATGATAAGCCCCAGAGGACCCTGCAGGGTAAGCCGAGTAGCTGTAGCCTCCCTGCGAACCCCCGGCTTGAGACGGCAATTGAAGCGAAGTAGGCACAGGAAGAGGTCCGTCGCCTCTGATCTTTGCAAAAAAAGGCCGAAATGAAAAAGGCTCTGTCGTTGTTTGCATCGATGTATTCACCTTTCGCATAGGTGATTTGGCTTTCTCCGAAGTAACCTTAAGCCGTTCTTGTGACTGTATTGTCTGGTTGCAACCCAAACAACCAGCAACGAGCGGTTGTGCCCCAGGTTGTCGCGCGATACGGGTGTATTTGAAGCCGCTAGTCTCCTCCATATACTGGACCGCATATCGCTTGACGTCAAGGTCAGTAGTCTTTTGCTTGAGAATATGGAGCAGCTGCAGGTTGGTTGGATCATGGTATATGCTGTGTATGACAGGCAAAGAGAACTTGCTCTCAGTCTTGTTGCCCACCATCTCCAGGTATTCATGCTCAGCCGGACAGGTAAGTAAATCACGCCAGTATAGGTCCATACCTGGCCGCGGTGCAGTTGTAGCAGCTCGTCGACAAAGATACCCATAACTTCCGAGCTGCTTAGCTTCTGGAGCTCCTTGAGGGCACGAAAATAGAAATAGTCCGCTGTTGATGGTCTTAGCTACGCCGAAAATGCTGTGCGCAACCGCAGAGCATCGGCGCAGGAGTGTGTTATCCCCTATGTCATCAATCAGTAAGGATGTGAGGATGTCGTGTGTTGTCAAGATTAAGACGCTCATTCACGGTGCTACCTACTGCCTAATAGGCAGTCGCGACTGGTCAAGCTGCTGCCTGCAGGCAGCAGCTGCCCTTAGTCTCTCTATTCATGTATATAAGAGAGATGGATTTCCTTCATTAGATAGAAACAAAAAGAGTCTTTCGTTGCCCGATCTACGGGGGATCTTCTGCCCGATCGTTGTTCAGTCATCCACACTGTCCGGGACTCCGGGCATCCTGTTGTGTAACATGTGTAGTATGTCCGCCGTCTGTTGAATAATCTGGAGACGATCCAGAGGGACCTCCAGCCACGTATTGAAACGTTGATCATCTGCGACCGAATATTCTTGCCCTCTACAAGCGAGCAAAGATGTTATGGGGAGGCAGTTGCAAATGCGAATTCGGGGGGCCGAAACAATGGTGAGGCGTTTGAAAGCGCGCAGGAGGGCTAGAACCAATTTGAGGATTCGCTAGAGGCCGGGCCGGAGTTTATCCGAGCTCTGAAACGGCAACCGGACTGTCGCTACAAAATATTCCGTTTAACGTGGGCACGTCAAAAAAATTATGACTAATTAAATCTTGAAGCTAGTCTTAATTAAGATCGGGCATTCGTAAATAGACAGAGCATATCTTGGAGTTAACTTAGAAGTTCTCACGCTAAAGAAGGGGATGAGCACGACCGATTATGAAGAACTATTGCTCGGCTCTTGGGACGAGATTGCTGTAGGTGGGTGAGAAAATTTCCTTTGGTGATTAGTACCCACTTTACTCGTACCTGCACCTGCCCCCATTTAAGAGTGGGTAAGCCCAAATCGAGCAATCTTAGCCGGACCGGGTTTTTCTTTATCCGCCATGTCCGCGGGGTGACGCCGAACACGTATGGTCGCTGCGGGGTAATCCCGAGGCGAACTTCAATCCGGCAAAAGATTTTGCTGCCCAACATTGTCAATCTATCATATCGAGGCTCCAGGAGCAGCAATCAGCCAAGGATAAACGTCAAAGAGCTATGCCTGCGAATACATAGCGGTATCCAATATCATGCAATCGCAGCTGTTCCCATCAGGCTACAGTCCTGCATTTTCCAGGCTTCGTCGACATGCCCGAAAACATTTCAAAAGACACACCCAAGGTCAGCTCGCCTCAGCTCTCAATCTTACTTCCACTAATGTATCTCTTAGAGAGGAGAAAGGGCTTTGTCTGGCAAAGAATATGAGTATTTAAGAGTGTGGCTGTTCAAAGAAGCGACCGTCGATAGAAAAATAAGCTGCAGGGGCGAATCTGTCATGGTATACGACCCGTCGAACGAGAACGAGGACACATACTGGGAAGGGGACAACATCATGACTAACACGGACGTCAATGTACCTGCTGGTTTTGTCGTACGTGTTATAAAAGCTTGGGTGGTGTTCATATACTCTCAAGCTGAAGCTGCATAATCAATTCAAGTCCCTTGTTGTGGCCAACCGTGATACGAACAGAAACATCCACATTCTGGCGTCGCGGAATAAACGCTACTAGGCATTCTGTGGTCGAGATCCTGGTCCTTCGCTCCGCTTTCCACCGACTGCTCGCTTGGATTGCGTCTAATAATGGGTTACCGAGCATGCTAACGCGGTTGAGAGTCACATGCGTGCATTGGAACTGTGATTCTGTCGCAAAGATGCTGTTAGCAGTCCTGTATCAAGAGGAAGTTGTTCACTTACCCTTTCCTACTTGCATATGCGTCAGGCTCAGCTCAGCTCCGGATTCTTCTTCAGGTTGAAGCCCAGCTATGAGCTCAAGACCTTTCTTATGGCCTACAGAGAAGATAATCGATATGTCTTCGCTCTTGTTTCGAGGAATCAATGCGATTAAGCAGTCCGTAGTTGTTATACCTGTGTCCCGCTCCTGTTTCCATAGCGCACTAGCTTTCACTGCTGTAATAATCGGGTCGCCTAGAATCTCCATCTGTGTGATAGAGGTTTGCCAATATTTATATTCAATTTGCCTCTGAGGTCGCTCTGTTGTCGTTTCATGGGGACCTACTCACATCAGACGAAATCCGTGGGCAGTAAATGACGGCATTACCCACCTCTGGGGAATAGAGACTGTATTAGTCTCTTGAAATGACGGCTTTCGCTGAAATCTTCGGTTCGTGCTATATCTTCAAGACACGCTTTCGCCTCTGGCTTAAAGCTCGAGACTCGGCATGGATTGCCGCTTTGGAACTCGAAGAAGCTTTTCATGTCTAATGCCACGCACGATCTTGGCGAGACGGCAAGAATAAAGGGGAGAAACACATGGCAGTCTTTATCCAGCACATCCAAATAGATGCGATGAGCATGGTTTTGTCGACTGTTGGCCAGAATCTGCTTTTTTGGACGGGGAGCTTTCCCTGGTGTTTGACGCTCAGGGTCCTTGCAAGCTATGCTCAGTCGATTGCGAAGCTCTGACAGACGGTGCGAAGGGATTCTGCCCCGCTCGTCCAGCTCTCTGCTGATCTTGTGAATCGTCCAGAACAAAGGCGATCGAGGCATAGCGCACTAGCAACATTGGGTAGCTCATTGAATTGCAAACAGGGCACCGTGTTATATTAATTAGGGCTGATGTTGGCGAATGTTGGTAGGTGGTCGGAGTTGCAGTTGCCGAGCACGTGCAGCGGAACCCCGCAGTTTTAGAGAAGTGTGTCATGCAATGTAAGCAGACCGTAACCTTATCCAACATGATCCATGAAGCACGTATCCAATATTAGCCACCAATGAACGCGGTATCCAACAATGTCCATAATATCCAACAATGTCCATAATATCCAGCATGGCTTTAACATTAGTCGCTAATCACAGCTGTTGGGGCGGATGGAGCATACGCCCTTGCGCTGCATTTTGGTCTGTTACCCAACCTGGAACGCGGCGTAGCATCGGAGGCCATCTTAAATTCCCCGGTCGATGTGATTGTGATAGAGTGCATGTCTACTGATTATGTCGAATCTTACGCGCGTGCGGGCAACCTGGTCGTCAAGGTATAAGTGTAGCGGCGGGATTGCTGTCTCCGACTCTTGCTGGTGGACAGCCAGTCCAGTACGCTCCAGCGACTGTACGGAGGCATTTGATTGTACTAGGCACCCAGCGGGCCCCCGCCAGCCAGTTTTGCTGTATGTATTCATTTGTCCCGCACCGATTGACCTTGTCTGACGGTTCGGTGTGGATATGTGCAATAGTTCTTTGCGGCAGCTATGCGTCCTGCCTGATTAATCTTGTACCAAACTTGCGCCCTGCATGCACGCGACAGGTGATGCGGCTAACAACATAGCACGTTACTGGGACTTTAGGTCTTGCCATAGCTTATTGTTACCTTTTTGTCACATTTCAGGCGCAGAGAGAGCGTAGGCAGCTGCGAGTGTAATTCTGACTTATAAGGCATTGAATCGCGCACATATGGACATAGCCATCACAATTACTTGTCTTCTGAAACGCTCCTGCCAAAAAAAAATGATGGCATCACATATTGTCACCCAAGGCTCGATGAAGTGCGGTCACCTTAACGACCCTGATCAGAAGAAGTGCACCCATGACGAGCCGTGTCGACTTGGAGTCCAACCCTTTCAGATCATCACCGAAAATTGCAAGAGGTGTATGCAGGACCCTCACAAAAGACTCCGCTACAACTTCCACGACCTCGAAGATAAATCATCTCTACTCCATTACTGGTATTGTCGAAAGCTTAGTGAAGATAGATATTTCTGGGGGCCGTCCAGGTTGGGTGAGGGAGTTGGTATTCCGGTTTCCGAGAGCATCAGCGCCGAAATGGAAATAAGTATGTGCGAAGCATGGCAGGAAGGGTCCAGAGGATTTATCCACTTGGCGAGTTGCGGTGCGAGCGCGGTTTTTATGGATGGTCAAGAACCGTGTTCTGTTGATGAGTTGGACAGCGATAAGGGTAGAGCACTTTTGGTAAGGGCGATGGAAATGATTCTTCAAGGGATGGAAAAGCCGAAGGAATTGCCCAGTAATTAATTATCTTTTCCCATCTCAGATCTATTCTCTGTTTCTTCCCTTCCCGCCTGACAATCCTGCCTTTTCTTGATGCTCACGGCCAGTGGCCTCGATAAGGCCGGCAGGAGAGAGCCATGTTCTTTGCTCTGCATGCAAGTACGACACTCATCTTGCGGAATTGTCGCAACTGAGAGCCAGGCTTCCTGTTGCCCTAAAGATCTCAATAGAATGGAGCAACGACACCTTTTGCCGTGCCTTTGACCATCCTTGTTTGGTCCATCTCTACCAGAGAGCTCATGGTATCGTCACGGCCCCTGGACAAGTTGCCCTCTGTGCCGTTCCATAGCGTTCCGACCCCTGGTCAAGGATTTCTTAGACGCATGCAAGCTAGAGTGCATGAACCAGGTTGTATGCACTGCTGGTGATGCCGAGATGCTGGATGGCATCGTAACTGTGAGCCAACCGCATTGACCAGTTGAAGACGTGCCATTCCACCCACCCTACTCTGACCAGGGCCGTTTTCATGTGGAGGAAGCTCATATGCCTCATATATGCAAGTCATCATATCAACTGTAGCCCAACCTCAAGGCGATGATGGTGTAACCTTATTATGCACAAAATATCCAATCACCATCTTACTCTAGGCATGTCGTCCCGTTTGTAAAACGACAGCAAAATGTACTGTGGCTCTCTTACCTGAGCGTTACTTGCTATGTACTAACATTTGCTATGACTTAAACGTCTATATAAAGCAC